CACAAAACGGCCAGTTAAGCCTATATTCACTTGATAGAATGATGACAACACGAAGCGTTCCATTCAGGGACGAGGTAGCTAAACACTTATCTGGAAATGCCAGTCATCCTCTTACTTATGATGTCTGCCACAGTGTTCTATGGAAAGAGTAGTCGGTAACCAACATACAAACACTAGCGAAAGCTGGTAGATTGTTGCAACTTCCTCCAAAATAATGGAGATGAAAAAGCTTATTCCAGCTAGTGGTGGGTGGCGAGAGTTGGAAAAAGGCATTAGTTGCAGATAACACTCGACAAACAATTAGGCTTATTTCACATAATGTCAAGAAGACAATGCTTAGTGAAATAATCACCGGAAAGGGATGGGACAACCTCGTGACCTCTCAGACGAGTGTGGCTAGAACGTCAGGCAGACCAAATCACTCAAGACAACAGTTCAGCTGGCTCGCATACATGCTTCATTCGCCCAGTGTCCAGCTTCAACCTCAATGCGACGTAGAGATCGGTCCTCCATTTCTCCTCGAAGTTGAGAAGACTGTCTCGAAACCCAAAAGATGTGAAGCAACACAATACGATGGCTTGTCACCATAAATCTTAAGAACGGATGTGGGAAATTATTTGACAGCGTAACAAAGGTGCAGGGTGGGTAAGAGAATCACACGAAGTTCCATCACACTGGTTTACTTCACTGATCACTCCAGTTGATAACAGACTTCTGATGATAACCATGGGGGGAGTTTAACTAACAGTATGTTCAACGTTCTTAGTCCCGTAGTTACCCAGTGCCTAATTGGATATCGAGAACAACAAATTTGCGATTTCGTCCAGTCTCACACCTGGATGAGGCTAACCGATATGAACCCTTCCTCAGTTTACGGAACACAGGAATACTTACCGACAACCGATACTTATGGGGAGTCGTCGTCTGTATTGACTGCAAGTAGTTACGTCACCAGAGACGTTTGCTGTCACCATTTCCGTTAGAGACACCCATAAGTACCTCTATCTTTACAGTGATTGGTCTACATCTTGGGTATCATCCGGTTGAGTTGAATTACGCAGACGATATTGTCCTGCTAGACTGAGACGCTGACAAAATGTACGCCCTCGTAAGCGCTCTGAGTGGAAATCTGAGTATGTTTGGGATGCGTGTCGCACGTTGATGTCGTCTATGTCCTGTCGATACAAAGGGTAGTAAATGTAAGGCAATGTTGTTGCAAAGGTTTTTCCTAGTAGTTTTCTGAGTCCCACAGTCAATGTTCCTGTATCTCCCTTAGAATCCAAAATCAGATTAGATCGTTTCTTCGTTATCTTTCTAAAACGCTTTTCCACGGTTGTTTTCATCATATCAGTCCTTAAGAACTTTGCTAGATATCTGCTACCATACAATGAGGTCTGTATTGTCACTTCACTCTCCAAAGTGTCACGTGAGCCGATCTGCCTTACTCAATTGATACCATTTTTATGCAAGAGGAACAAATGATCGGTGGTATACACACTGTCAACTCATGACTTCCTACGAAAAACATCGCAGTTTGTTCATATTAACAAAATATCAAGGAACCTCAAACTCCCACCTCTCAGTTTCATTTTCGACTGAGGGCTGGATAGAGGAAGGTGTCAGCGCTAGGAAGTTCGTACAAAACGAAGGTCACCGATGCATCTACAGTAGAGCTTACTTAGTGTGTTATGCTGTGATGCGTGTTTTCCAATTACAAGACTAACTTGTCGGCTAAGGGAAGACTCTAAGTTGAACCAACCGCAACTCCTTTGATATGGTAAATTTCGTTGTAAAACTGAAACTGTGCATTCCTCATGCCAATGAAACTCTTGCAGTGTTTCTCTCTGACACACCTGATGCTACTTTCTTATTCAAAAATAATTATCAAATGAAGTCCATTAAAACTGTTTAGCTACGAATCTAGATTTCTACTTATTACGTGACTATCGACAACCTTGATGCATTCTACTGATGAAATCTAGTCTCTGGATTCGGGTCTCCTTTTCTGAAATGACCTACATTTGAATCAGTTTGGTTGGAATTTACCAATAACACGAACAAAAGTACTGCTAATATTCGTAACCTTGAAATCAAATTCTAAAACTGTTATCTGTTAGTTTGGATGAAGCGATTGATTTGCTTCTGCAGTTTCCCTAGTCATACGAACACTTCATAAGTAAAGTTCTGAGTAAGTGAATCCAATCCGCCAGTTGAAACCAAAGTTTAGTCTCCAAATGGTATAAAGAATGGTTATCAACGCGTTATGGACTACTGTGATGCCTTTCGTAAAACAAACTATCTTAAAAGAAATGTCTTACGAGATAAAGCCCGATGAAACTTTTGTGATCGTAGCTATATTCCGGGACAGCTCTAATATAATTGACATCATAATCTCAGGTTGTGCCGAAAGTAATCCCAAGTTCAAATAAAGGCTCCCAAACAAAGATGCTGAGATTTCGTATCATACGATGAACTAAACTTGTCTAAGATTATTTTACACAATGCCAATCCTTATTAGCAACTACAGCTAGACTGTAGCAGATCCTACCTCAAATAACCGATAATTAAAATATACTACATTTAGATCTATTCTTGTATAAGTACAGATGTAACCGTACACCAGGTGAAGCTTTGGGGATTCGGAAAATATTTGACGAATAAATGCTACGTGAGTAGTTTACGCAGTAAACGAGGAATAGGTAATAGGTGACAGGACTTTGGAGAACACAAATTTAGTGAAGGTATTTTCTTCAGCGATTTTATTATCCACAGATGTACAGTTGCGACTTATAGTTCACGACTAATTGTAGTAGCAAATACTTTTGTCGAACAAAGAAACAGTAATGAAGTACAGTAATAAATTGATTTTTAAAAATCGAGAATGCGACATAAGGTAAAATTAAGACACTAAACACAATACATTTCAATACGAATTTACCTGAAGTACCTCAGCCAATTCGAAGCTTGAAATTGGTAACGGGAAGCATAGAAGCAATAGGTGTTATTGGTGAATGAGAAAAGAGGATAAACTTGATTTCTAATCCCGGTTATTATGCCCATGTCGAGAATCACGGTTCGAACTTACCGAAGATTTCAGTAGTTTGAAATGGTTGGTAAAGTATGTTATAAAGCGGAACATACGGATGAAAGATATAATACAAAGTACCACAGCTGATAAAATTCAACACAAGTTTGTTGAAACATATTAAAAAACTGGAATATGATGCGGTTCATACCATAGCAAACTGAAGACTTATGCACATTAATGTGTATACATACAAAATCACAATGACCCTAATGAAAATACAAAGAGTGATCAGTACAAGCGAAGTACCAAGAACCAGTCGGAACATTGGTGAGTCACATGAAGTGACAATCGCATTTCTGACATCCACCGGCACCGCCTCACAGTCACACAGGACAGTGTATTCAAAACTGCTCAGGAATATTTTACTAACCTAGCCCCAAATTAGCAGGTGACTGATGAACAAACGACAGGTTGCAGAAATACCAGACTGTTCCACAGGTTGTTACAGAACGGTTGGATTATATCACCCTCAAAGTTGAAATGAAGAAAGGTTCTCAGGTTTGGTTATTTCTGCCCGCATACGGTGATAAGAGTGACAGAGTCAATTCAAGTAGCCAAACGAAAGATCTTGAATGGTATGAAATCTTGCACAAATACTGGTCACCATAGTGATGATGCTTCTTTCACATCATCCCAAATTTCGTTAAACCCAACAAGTATCATGCTAATGGTTGCAGAGATACTTAATTATTCACAAGATAGACATTGAAGGTTGAAATTGGGAGTTGTACCCTTTCAAAGTGAAAACAGACCGAAATCTACTCAGCAACCTTGTGCACATTCGTATAGCAGACAATGAGCCACACTTATCGTGCGTAGACTAATGATACCGGGCGGTCTATACCTAGGTAGCGGTGTTGAGAATTAGCTCCCTGAACCAATAAGACATATTTCCACTATCAAAGTGAGGAAGTATAGAAATGAAACAAATAAAGTCGAATCACAACACATTCTACAAATAATACCAGATACATTTTCAGTCAGAGATGTGAGCACCCAACAGCTGTGTAAGGAGAGATGTGGAGACAGCCAAGCTTCGCCGCTAGTTAACATTTCCCAACCAACGCAGCAACACCACTAAGGGAAAGCTCCCCGTCTAGTAATACCTGAAGATATCCATTGATGCTTGTAACTTTCCGTTGATTACTATACCAGAAAGGATTGCCTAAGTAGTCTCGTGAATAATGCCTTGGAATTCGGAGCGATGGGTGACAGGTTCAAGTCTGAGGGGAAAGATCACCCCTCACTGTGATGCACTTGCATTCAGATGACGAGTAGAATTGCGTATGCTGCATTCCAATGCTAGTCACCACCAAGGAAATGATATCGACACTGTACTTGGGAAAATTTAAAAACACGTGATGAAAAAGCATAGTCAGACGATACTATTTAACGGATAATACTTGAAAATTTGTCAGGTTCTATGATCACACCCCTCCAGTATGAGACGGTATAAACATGGAGATGTACCACATTATGGGATTAGTATGACAGTGGGCACGATATAGTTCATCATCCGTTGTCTTCAAAGACATTGGTAGCCTCCAATTAATTATAGGATCACGTTTAAAATTCTTGTCCTGTAGAGGCATGTGACATTGATAACATCAGGCTCATCAAGAAAACCAGTCTACGTTCGTAGCCTAAAAGGATATTTCCGTGCAATATTCAAGAGAACAAATCACACACACGACCAAGAAATTCACCTTTGTATTACGTACTAGAAAGCATCAATTCATTTTGTATACGCGTTAGACTTTTCGGTAACGAACTTGACAAAAACAACACATTGTCGATAAAATTTTTATTTAAAATAAAACCCGACAAATTCGTACACGTGATTACTTTGATCAAAATATTATGTACACAAACTTCTATGACCTATGTACAATGGAGTAACTGGGAAGGCTTATTAGCTAAGATCATTTACATCAGCAGTATCGACATTTATGTGCTGCAATGAAGAATCCACATCTATAGTTTCCTTTTTCCTTTTCTCTTTATTCCCATGTTTATGCTTTTTCTGCTTCTTGTGTTTCTTTGAATGCTTCTTATCGGACAACTCGAAATCTGGGCAAGAAAAAGGATCGCTGGTGGGAATACATACTTCGTTGGTTGAGTCACCACTTATTTGAATACAAGCCCTGACATTTTATCAAATTAGAGTACAAGAACGGTTACCTTTTATCAAAATGCTTGTGCTTATGCTTCTTATGTTTTTTTTCTTTCTTCGTTTTAACCTTTTTAACTTGAGGCGCAAGTGTTTCACCACTAATTACATTACTGTCGACAGAGTGTCCTACCAAACACTCATCTATGGGAATAATTTCATTAGTGAGACCCAAAGAAACAGATTGTTTTGCTGAATCGACAGGTAGTATGTCACATGTCGCGTTGCAGGAAACATGATCAAAACCTTCAAATTCTTGGCGTTGCCCAGCTTTAACATACTGCATTTGGGATGAATCTCTTGGAAGTGACGGATTTCTAGGTCCTAAATTTTGTGAATTTAAACGCTCAAATTAACTTACCAATAGATTCCCCATCAGAGACATCATATTGGGGGACAACTGATACAGGTGACCGACTATAGAGGATTAAAAAAATGAAGATATATCAGCTGACATACATATAGTAATTTTTAATTCATGAAAACCAATAACTTTAGGCAAAAGCCGAGAAGCAACTATGCAGAAAAAGTCCTTTTAGCTATCCGATGATTGTGATCAAGACATCAGCTACAGGAAGTCAACTGACGCCGAAAATTGCTTCAACTATTCAAACTAGGAGTTCAGATCATCACGAAAAGTCATAAACAGATACAAGTAAACGTGCGTTTACCTTGCAAACGCACTCAACAGCGAACAACTACATGAAGTAATACAATTATATTAGTGTAAATACATTTAACACGTTGTCAACCAAACGACCAGGAACGCATATAATTTAATTACCGGAGCAGACGGCTGCACAGTACATAGCGCAACTCGACAGGACCCACTAACGAAAATGATACCAATACACGAACGTGCAATGCCAACATCGCAACATAAACAATCTAGTCAGAGTTCACGCATGATAAGCAGACAAAGTATGCCTTGCGGAAAGCATAAAACAACATCAACTTGAATCGACACAGACGAACAACATAATAGTGGACGATGTTAAACTTCACTACAGCACATCAAGACAGAAGGCAACACGATTAAAGATAGAAAAATAAGTAGACAAAGTGGTGGAAAGTCACAATAAGAGAACAAGAAAAAGGGAAACAATAGTAAAACTCAGTACAACTACAAGGTGTGGACTTATCGGGATCACTGTTATTGATTCCGAGCCACATACTCTAGATTCTCTAATTACTGGTTCCGGTCATCACGCAAAAAACCCAAACGGGAAGTCCACATTCCCTTGCACAGCTCAGACCAACAGTCGAAAACTTCGTGGATTCATGCCAAAAGTTTTAGTCTGACCACCCCTCATCTTTCTCCAGCCTAGCCTAATCCAGCTGACAACCAACACTGGGTAGACAGTGACGATACATACGTAACACACGTCGCAGTCATCTGAGTCGATTAGGGTACACAACCTCACCGACTTACCTTCCTCACCTAAAACTCTACACTTGGATTCCATGTTAATAAGGTGGTGACAACAGTTCACGATAAAAAAAAGCCACCTTTAATACTCATGTTTCACAGTAATACCGTGGAACAGACCAAACTGGAGCGCAGTACACCGGGCACATAACAGGTAATCGAACATAACACTGGTTCCACGGACGGCGAAACTTAGTGAAAGTCAAACGAACGTTCTATGTTCCTACAGGAACTTTATGTATCACTGATCCATCAGAGCTGACACAACTTTAAACTAATTGAAGAGATCAACAATTCCACTCTCTTTCCTCCACAAAGCACCAATCAATGCAGACCAGTCCTCGAACAGCAATTTCAAATCCGGTGGCCAGGCACGCACACCAAAAATTCTGAAATTGACACTCAAGGCATCCGGCACCTTGTCAACATCTTCATTTAAAAGGACTATTTCACTTGCTTACTCTAGGTTTACCAAGGAGTTTCTCTGAAGTCAGATGATCAGATGGAGACCTTCAGAAGTCTGTCTACGAATAATTAAATCAGAATGGAAAGAGTAGGCATCCCGACTGACAACACTAGACGTACACAGCTCACTTGATACCAGAAAAATAAGTGAATGAAAACAAATAGGTCATAAGTTGTAAAAAGCTGGGCAACAAGGGAAAGGACACAAAGATAACAAACAAACATGATGCTAAGACCTGCGTGCATTAGAGTCGATGAGCTCGAATTACAATCACATCATCCACCAACGACTTTGGACAGGTAGTATCTATTTCTCGAAACGGTTTACATCACAATTCAGGTTGTTAGAGATATATGCTCTGAATAATAAAAACAAGGGTGGAGAGTGATAAACAATGGCATCGTAAATCAGTCATAGAATATCTGCTTTCGCAGTCAACTGTCACCTTATAATCAACCACATTTATTTAATAAGGATAAACAAAACATCATTGTGAGCAGTAAAGACAAACAGTTTGCCGAACCTTACGAAGTTCGAAGCACCTAGAATGTTCCTGCAAAAACACGGTAAGTGAAGTTTTCAATAAATAAACAAAAGTATATATTTCAAAACACGGGTTCCAGGAAATGTATAAATCCAGCACTCATATACCCGAAACTACAGTTAATACTTGATGAAACAATGAAGAAAAAACAAATCGGAACAGAAACTTGTAGAAAAAAATCCGTCGATTCCAGTCAATAATCTTAACAACATGCCATACAGACAAAGTAGATGGGAATGGATACTACTGAAGTAGACGAAAAATGTGAGAGTTCTGCGAAATGAAGGTTGAAAATATCTAAAAATTCGAAAACTATAGAGTGAATACCACAGTATGGTCGATTTCGAGCCATGTTGTCAGTGGAATGAAATGAATAAACTGAGATTCTAATCGGCTGAACCTTGGCGGATGGAATGGAACCTAGGTTGCATGGAATAAAGCAAACTGTGTAGACTAATGAGTCAAAGCTATAACTCACTTATTCTCCAATCACTGATTCATAGCACTCTGAGGAGCAGATCAGGTTCACAAATAAACTCAAGAAAAATCCAGCGAGTTATCGTAAAACTGTAACAAAATGGAAGAACTAAGGCGACCAGACCTCAAGAAGTCTTCAGGCATGATATCTGAGGACCAGATACTAAACATTTACCCGAGTGGCTTCATTCATCAATTATAAGAAAGAAAAGATGTGAATCTTCTTACAACAACAAAAAGACTAAGTTGGGACACCATCATTTCTACACTCCTAGCAACCCTAGTTATGTGATTTGGCTTTCTAGTAAATGTTGATACACTAGGCTATGAACTAAATCTAATAACAATTCAAGATGCTGACTGAATGATGATCATAAGCAAGTAATTGGACAAGATTTGCGACCATGATTTAGTAAAAGTAGCTTCAAGACTGAACCACTCAGTCGAGACCTCTCAAAATCCATAGTAATTTAACATCTAACCGGGGTTAACAACCACCAAACTCGAAACAAACAGGAAGATCTCAAACTTGAATAGGAGTTTACAATTGAAGCTCATTTTTTGCTGGATTACAGTGAAGCAGAGCAATCCGCAGCGCAGTGCACCGGGCACTTAAACCAAATCGCATATCACGGCAAAGCCATAAATTGCGTAATTTGTCTGCAACATGCTTTTTCTAGTCCCAAGGTACAACAATAAAATATCAATCCACAAATCTAACAAGATAGTAAGCGACACCCATAGGCATATTTTACATAAGCTCTGAGCACATGAAAGGAAATGACATCCATAATATGAACAGTCACGAAATGCCAACCACCTTCAAGCTCCCACTAATAGACAAAATCCGATCAAATATCACCTACTCTCATGAATATTGTTTCCTATCTTACCTTCACTCTCTGATAATGTTATAAAACCACTTACAACCTCTTCAACCTCTCAATTTGTGACAACTGTTAACGATCAAAGACAGTAAAAGATCATTTGTTGGTACAATAAAACCACGACAAGGGTTTCAAAGTGAAACTTTCAACGGTCAAAACTTACTCCAAATCGAACAACAATTCTCACTTGCATTTTAGTTGATGTATTAGAAGTAACACAATGTGGAACAGTATTGTTTACTGAAATACGCTTCGGACAAAATTTATTGTCCTTAGTCTTATCAAGATAATGATACAACTTTGACAATACATTAAGTTCTCATTTGCATAACTCCTCAATCCCAAGTCACGGAAGTATGCTGCGTTCATGAAACACAAGAACCAATTGCGGTAATTCAACTGACGTCACATAGCCTATGGCGCATATATGCGGAATTCATTTACGAATACCCAAAAGTCCGACGCCTAGTTCTCCCGAAACCACAAGAGCGTGCAAAGTAGATATTCGTCAACAGCCATCTGTGTACTGTCCAACACAATGGATCTGTAGACACGAGGAAGCATTTTCAGACCATCCGATGCATACTTATAATCTCTACCCACACACCTACGAAGGGACGTTATTCTGCGTGGTTATGTATGTCCGTGTAATTGTTCTTTGAACATACTGATCTTGGGTACGTCTTTACTACAGTTGTATGTTAGGCAAGTTGTAAGATCCAAGCAGATATTTTGATTATACTAACTACCGAGTTCTCGCAGTTTTTTGCTTTTGATGAGTTTAGTACAGAATATGGTATAAGATTCCATTTTGCGGTTCAATAATCAGGTATCAAGCAGGACAATGTAAAATTCGTCTTTATTGATGGAAATGTGCCTAATTATTCACTACTTTCGGCCCAGGAATCGCTCAGTATTCTAAACTTGATGTTTCAAATGATACATATGAAAGCTTTCATTTGTAGTCCTGGCATACTCAGAAAAACAAAACACGTTGAGATTCTTTCAAAGTTTACCTATATGTCGACGAAATCAGACAAGGCACTCAAATTTCTCCTTGGCATTCGTGACAACTATGATCTGCATGTTTACATCACTTTTCGAAACTCACTACTAACCTTCATAAAACGTCTATGCTCTCTCACAGCGCTATATGTTTAAGCAAATAACATTGACACTCTTGGGTTTTTGCGCTGGCTAGTTTGTCAACCATTCATTCATTAGCTGGATATTTTAAAAATGCAAAGGAAACCACTTTCACTGGTCACTCAAACTTTTTTGACAGTTATCAATTTTTCAACAAAGAAATTGTCGAATATTATTTACTAACCTTCGGTTGCGTCTTGCAGGGAATTCATTATAATCCCCACTGATGTGGGGTTCCCGATATCGGCGCGGATCTGCAAATTCATGAGAGACAGGAGACAAAGTTCCACCCCGACCTTTATATCCGTACAAGCCATCTTTAGGCGAAGGTGAATGTCTTGGTGACCGCCTGGATCGACGCTCAGGACTGCGTAGATGACTCCGTGAACAATAACGCCTCCGATCATCGTCAAAATCTCGCATGAATGCAGAACGATAATGATGACGATAAGTTCCGCTCCTATCACGATGAGACTCATAATCATCATCGTGGCGATGTCGATACCGACTACGATCGACTTCGTAGTCGATGGGTGAGTGGTGTCGGCGTTTTTCCCGATCTTCTCTTTCAAAACCAAGTCGATGACGCGAAGTGTCTCCATGGAGCCGCTCAGTCCGGTATGCATAACCAGGACTACGTGAACGAGTGCGGTGGCGATGCCTATAAATCAAATTTTTTAACAAAACATTGAATAACCCGAAGTAAACACAAAAACTGCTACGTGGGACCGCTGATATGAGGAAGTGTATGTACCACAGGCAAACAAGATGGCAGCACATGCATGTCAGTAAAACTGTGGAGGGGTGATCATAAAACCGATCGCCATAACACACATAAACATACCAAATCGTGCACACAAGGATGAGTAAAGCATTGAACTTAAGTACAATGGTAAGTAAAAAAGGTGTTATACATAATCACAAACAAACACTAACTTATTAGGAGCACCTACAGAACCATAAACAATGGTGGGGAGATTGCCATCCGTATAACGTAATCTTGGAACGTCAAGATGACAGGCCTGCTTAAATTAAAATCCAAATTATCGCAAAATCTGAGAACTAAGAATTTAAACGAATTTGAAGCCCCTTCCTCATTGGCAACCGCTTCCTAGTTCAACATAAACGTCTCGATTGTTTACACTACACGCAACCATACTTGTGAACCACATGGTTTACAAAATAATATCAAGGTTGTTATTCCTCTTTTATTCTAAATAGGTAACAGTATTTGAGATAATGGCCCACCAAAGCACTACATATACGCTTCGCACTGGAGAGTGCATTATTGAAACTACATCGAAAGGATTATTTACCGATCACCTCACGGATAGTTTGCATCCACTTATGTAAGACTAACATCAACCAATAAATAACCTGGTAGGTAACACCAGAGGTCTCCCTGAAAGTAAGCGAAAGCCTTTTGTTTGTTCTGTATAAAATGAATATTCTGATTATAAACCTACTACTGCTAGTGTCGTTTTATTTAACTGAGGTTAAGTGATTCAATTTTTATAAGAAATAGGATCGTATGACAACCTAAATAAATAAACGATGCATTTGAGCAGAGTTTAATTGGTTTACCTTCTACGAGCTGAATGGAGAACTTCCATTTTTAAACGATAGAATTCTTCTTTTGAAAGCATTTTGTGTCCATTTAAGGTTTCAACGGGTGCGGACAAAGCTGTATGCATCGTATCAGTGACAGACTGCCCAGGGACTAACCCAAAGGCGACCTGATTATTATTGACTTGCAACACTGGATCAAGTAACCCAGTGCTTTGGGCGGCTGATGCAGCCAAAGCTGTTTCAGCTGTCCAGTCAGGATCGCCAACGAGCGATCCATAAGAGGCTGGTAAAATGGAGGGAGCAATCAAAGGGCCTGTAAGTCATCTAACCGTATGCTATAAAGCGCATTAAGAAGGGGATTTCCAACACTATTTACACGTGGGAGTAAAGTAGGCAAGACAGTAGCAGAACCAGTATAACTCAAACAAGGAAGCTGTGTGTTTGAAAGACAAGTGGCAGGCAACAGATTTTGTCTGTTGTTTCCCACCAAAGTGGTACAAGGAGAACTTGTGACCACAGTAGCATTTGTATTGTTCGTTATAACAGAAGAATTAGTCAATTCAGAAACACGAACAGAATCAAAAGATGAAACAGTAGAAGAATTAGACAATGTCACAGAGTTTGTGGTTTGCGATATTTGGGAGGATGGGTTTAATGACAAATGTTCTTTTTTAACAACAGAAGTGGATTCTGAAGCGATCGCTTGTGTGTTCATTGGATTCTGGATTTGACTTGATTCCGTTACATTCGTATTTGCAGACTTGACTGACGTAAGACCAGCGATCGCCTTCTTTGGCTTTAAAACACGGCGACAGTTTACGAATGCCTGGAAGAAAACATTAAAAACATAAGTGTCTCACCTTTTCGTTTTCATTTATTTTTGCTATATCTTCAGGAATAAGTAAATCTTGCTCCACTACTTTTGTTTCATCCGCAAGCCAATCGCGAATCAGACTCCGTACAAGAGCGTTTTCAAAAATGCTTGATTCATGATCTGTAAGCACTGCCTCACAATTAGGGCACTTATGTGAACCCAGGACTTGTGAGTCAAATACGTGACCCATGATGCATTCGTTACAATAAGTCGTCCCACAACAGGATACCAAAACTGCATCGCTGAATAGTTTGTTGCACAATGGGCATATAAGCTGCTTCGGTGGGGTCCTTTCTTGAGAAACATACGGAGGATTTTCTTCGACGGAAAATGGTCGTTTGTCTTTTTTACCTTGAGCGTACGCTTCACTGAAACATTAGCTCATTACAAAAATAAACAAATTACGCGTCTTTGATGGGGACCATGTATTTTCCAGATTTTCCCAAATATGCACCCGGAGTTCCAGCTGCAACCTCCAATAGGAAATCTTGTGGAATTCCCGTCGGGCGTTTTACTGACTTTGCGTCCATAATCTTCCCAGTTTTATCTCGCACACCCGGGCAGTTATGAATCCAATGCCCCGGTTGATTGCATTTGTGACAAACGTAGGCAGCCGGAGGGACTCCATACGGTTTGGCTCGTACCGTGAAACTAAAACAATTAACTACATTACGTTATTTATTACTTTGTTTCTGAATAGATTTCTGAAGATCTCTCCATCATAAGCTTTATTTTTTCTTCTTCTGGTAAATCAGAGTCAGCTAAATTAACATGCTAAACAAGGTAAGCACTACTACTCATGGAACATACCTTAGAGCTGTTTGGTGTATCTGACGTGTTTGATTGCTAAAATCAATTACCAAGGTGGGTTAACAATAAAAGTAAAAAGACACTAGGCATAATAATGAAATTTCAAGTATAATTTAAAAATGCAATAAATACACATAACAAAGAATATATATAGTGTAACGCCAATTTGAATGAATAAAAACAACACTCAGACAAAATAACGTAAGCATTAACAAAGTTCTTTTATAAGCAGGTAGGTAGGTAATGGAAGAACAACAATGAGAAGGGTAAACAGGCTTTTGAAGAAGAAGCAGTTTCAAAAGTAGTCCCTGATAACAAGGTACAAGAACACTGCCACACGGATACTACTGGTTTTGGTTCACAGTTATATCTGATAACCTATGGGGTCAATAGGTCAGATAACCGCTGTAGCTCGATTCAGGTAGTTGTGGTGCACTACAAATATATTGTCGTTCATTCCACAGCATCACGTTAGAATAAGCAAACAGTGAACAGTTTGGAGCCATGGTATCGATATTCATGACAATCATCTAAGTAACCAAAGTTGGTTCTTTGACACAACATACAATAAGTGATATCTTTCATAGTTCTAAAACATGCTTTACAATACCTCAGAATTACTTCACAGGTGTCTGGAAAATACCACAAAGTGATCAGGTACAGGTTTTTCACATGTTTTACCTTCAGAAAAAAGGTTTGTAAGTGTAGAGCAATACAGTTTTCATCGATATCAGACACTACATTGCGATAGTCACAAAAGTGACCCAGGCTAATTAATGTTTTTCTGGCTTCCGATGTATGCGTCGACGATCATGTCCTCGTCGGAAATTGCATATATGAGAATGCAAAAATTTCCAACCTTTAATAAACCACCAAAGGAGAAGACAGGTACAGACTCCCACTAATTTCGTGCAGTACGATGATACGAATGTCATGTCACGAGTGCGAACACTAAATGTCAGCTGATCAAGTGCAACTTCAGAAACAACTATGGCACTAAACAGTAAAGAGACGTCGCCCAATATCTAAGTCCTAAATTAGTTGCTGAACTACATTAATATGAACCTTTGAATAGTTACTCAATGATGTTGTTAAAACTAAATAGGACTGACGAAATCAGGTAGCCCTGCCTAACTCTACTGATGGTTTTGAACAGTGGCCGTATATTCTCGTTATACCTGTTTTTGCAGTGCATTTAAGATACGAACCTGAGAGGTACTTTATTCCACAACCCCACAAAAAATCCTGTTCAAGTCAGTCTTAATATCCTGTCTTTAATACCAGAAAGACACTTGAAGACACTTGTAAACGCAGTCAACGCTCTGCTGTACTCTTGACAGCTAGTCTTGACTATAAGTTCGGCTAGGTATTTAGTTGCAACAATGTAGAACTAAGGCACGTGAACCACCTAGTGAAGATGTGGCTCCTTGACTTGATATATCAACTTGCAGAGAGTAAGTCCCAGGTTTGAATTGTGCTTTGCCTGTTTTAGTTTGGACGACCAGGTCATCACCATCTATCAATATAGGACCGGGCATTATTGCGTAACGGATGGAGTTGCAGTAAATCAAGTAAAAGTACCATAAACCTCCGTATGACAAGTATAGCTTATTACCTATTATATACAACGAATAGTTCCGATTTGCTTAACCTCCAGATAAGTTCATTTCAACAGACTGGAATTGATAAATTATAGTAGCGCTTCAAATTTAGCTGGCGAGAATCCTGTACATAGACAAAGTAAAGCAACTAACAATCCTAAATATCTTTATTTGTCAAATACCCCGGCTGTGCTAATTACCATGGCAAGTTTTCAAATTTAGATGTTCTGATCAAGTCGTAGTATGGTACCAAACGTCAAGGCGTTTCAATGGCACTAAGACTGGATCCTTTTTCCTGAAGCTATGAACTACTCTCTTGTGACATCAACAACAGAATGTGCTACGTGCCAAGATGGGAATGACAAATACAACTCAACCTCTTGAAAAGTACGCTTACTCGCACCCACAAGACAGTTGAACACTCAGAGGATAGGTGTCATTTATAACTTTGGTTACTTGTGGCTTTTCAAATGAAATCTTACTTAAATCGACTTAAAGCAGAACCGGTATTTCTAACCAGTGGTTTCGTGTTCTTCACCGGGCATGGCGATCGCTAACATACTGTTTGGAAAACCACAGTCTTCGTTAAAAATTATAATCATGACCGCAATCCCGCTGTTTAGATTTTAAACCACTTTTGGTGGCAATACAGAACACAAAAATGCTTCGCAGTCGTTAATGACTAGTTGGTGATTCAAAAGCAGTACCATCCATCCTGACACTGACATTAATCTCCATGCACATTACGTAACCAGTGGTCGTTTACTACTGCCTATCTTAAACAGGCACTAGCGTCACCCTTTCAGGATATTAAATCCCTGTTCCAGTCTGCTGAACCCATACTACTAAGTTGACGCTGGAGCGTCTTACGTCTGAACTTTGTATCAGGCGTAAATCGCCGAGTCAAAAATTCTTGAGTATTACTAGTTATCAATTGACTACACGTGATAGCCGTAGTTTGGCAGACTAGTATTTATATTGAGTGGAGCCCACTGGCTCGAGCCTGACCGCGGTCTAAATCCCCATCTCTCTTTAATCATCAGCCAGTACTACCACAGTGCTCCTTCAAAGGCACAGGAAAAACAAGCATGATTATCTGTTTGACCATGCCTCACTAATATCAAAAGTTCGACTATTTGGGTGGTAGGTTAGTATCACGTACTTCGTTCAAATGATTCATTTGACAATCAACTATGCACTGTTTACATGGACAAGTCTTTAGAAAATTGAAAGAACTACGACACCAGTTAATTCTTATTTCCGGTCTCCATCTGCGCGTCCAATGACACCTGTCTGGATGATGTAAATGACAGGTCCTATCAGTCAAAAGGCCCAGGTACAGAAATTTTAGAGGATGACTTCAGTGAGAAAACATGCAGATTGGATGAAAAAGGTGACTCGGATATAACTACAGATTCCTCCATCAATGGTGACGAGGATCGGCTAACACTGATCTTAAACATAAGGAGACATTGCATTAGTGCCCACCAACATCATGTTCGTCACGGACGCATTACTGTCATATTTCGAGAGAATTGGCGCTATTTTAGAGCATCTGCCAAGACTCCGATCACGCGTTAGTCACAACGCGTGTCTGTATTTGAAGCAAGTGGCTGAAAAGCCTCTTTGCGCTCAAATACAAAAGGAGGACAAACGATAATCTAGTCGGGAAAAAATCGGGCAGTTTTATTAACATGACAGCAAATCAAATCTGGAGTTCTTTTGTCTCCTGGAAGAACAGTGGTAAGGAAAGCTGGTAACCCACAACCAAAAATTGACAGAAAGAGATGGACGTCTGCAGACATGTCAGAAGCTATTTTGTGAGAACACATCCCGAATAGCTCTGATAATGAGAAACAAATCCAACCTGATCATGAGCTTGTGTAATGACCGTGAACAATGGTGGATGAAGAAGCAAAAACAAAGATATCGACCACTACTCGTTGAAGATACGGGTATAATAAAGATGGTCGGAGAGAAATGACTGAGGTCGGTACCCGATAGACTAATCAGACAGGCGGTCAGAATGTTGAGTCTTACGAATTGATGTGACTGCGGATTACCCTCTTCAAGAGAGGTTGACGAATCCCTCACAAAGAAATCTTGATAGCTCACCCTTTAATGAAGCCGGTGCTGATATTTTCTAGAACGCCAGTGAAAACACGATTAAATCAGTCAGCTCAATGGACGTAACACACGCTATTAGTTCATCATTCAGAGATAGAATATTCAAGTCAGTAAACCACTCACGAGATCACATTGTTATCACAGCTACTTCTGTAGTGTTCGCGTATAGTGGCACATAGGGGCTAAAGCTGCTGCAGGGTGTTCAGTGTCAGATACAGAGGGCATGTTAGCCGATGCCGTCAGCGATAGATGACTGGTAGTTACGGCAACATCTGTTGCGCACGCTAGTAGATCGCCATTTTCAGTGGTAGGTAGTATTGGGTTGAAGAAGCTAGAGGTGATCAGGCAATGCGGCACTTGTTAAGTTTGAACAGGTCTGAGTGTAAGAAAACACACACTGTCTGACTGGGGTCCACACTGTTAAGAACTAATGATTCAAAGATTTGGCAATAGGCATCCAGACTGATAATGGGATAGATGCATACACTTTCATTCTTGATACTTTGAACATTTTTTAACTTTCACTTACTCTGCTTTTCCATGCTTTTGCTTTACTAAGCATCGTTTTTTCCTGATCCACTTCACTTATGTGCTGTTGCTAAGATTAGTACACAACAGCTCACAAGCAAGAACGCACCTGTAAAAAGTAGCAGTACGAAGTGTTGTCAGTTTGACTAGTACTGTTGTTGAAATTGCAAGTCAGGGCACAAATCAGAATTTTCTCATGCGAATCACCGAACGGGAAGTCGGGTAAACTCCAAGAAAGCGGACATGCAGATGTCACTTTCATACGTTTCAGCAGGGCGCTTGACGAAGTACCTCATTACACGTTGCTACTGAGACTGAAGTCTCAGAATCACTAACCGACTTCTTGGATGGATCAAATAGACTAATTACACACCGCCGCCACCCCTACTGGAGGTTTAGGGATACAAAGCAGACCTAGGTTTCTCGCCACTGCTCCCGTAAATAAATGAACTATTGGTTATCACGAAAACTCCACTGATTCACCATGCTGATGTGGAAATCTGGTGAGAATTAACCGACGATGACGATGTATGCGCACTCCAAACAGATATGAACAGTTTAAATCGGTCACAGAAATGGTTGATGCCCTGATGCATGTGAAACAGCGCATATCGGGTACAAACGGCCACACAATAATATTAACTGCAAGATCAAAGTGCGACGTGATAGTTGCATAAGTTGAGCATTAGGTAAATGGATTATAAATGAAATGTTTGTAAAACCCCAACCAGGTAAATAAAATTTTCTGACGTTTCACGACTTCGTGCAAATCGCTCCTATAGAGAATAAAACCTGTACAATTTATCGATTACTTAATTAACTAAAGATCCACAAAGTCGCAAAACGTCAGAGACAAACGAGTGTGAATCCAAACTTTCTTCACTTCTTCGACCTAGGTCAAAACACCTCCCAGATGACTCAGCAGGAGTACGGTAGTCATCGGAATGAAATACTGGTTTTTGAGTTGAATAGCCAACTCTGAGAGTCAGCTCCTGAAAGAACATGCTTGAGTTTCCAAATGACCCATTTAACTGCGAACTAAAACAGAGCGATGTCAGAAGAGGATAAACATGAGTCTATGCCGTCTGACCTCTCTCTATCCGGTGGTTTGTAGAGAAAAAGACGAAAGCATCAATGCTAGGTGACACTCGGTATCTCTTTAGGCTTATTTTGGCTAAGCAAGCGAGCCGACCGTTGTTAACATTCAGTGACTGATGTGATTTGGACATGCGTTATGTATGCCAAGGACTACCTACCTCGACATGCGATGCTTAAAGTTGGATCAGGTTGGAAGAGAGCTGAGTGGCCACAGTAGTGGTCAATGAAGTTGCCGACTTATGCTTTTAGTCGTGACGGGCCGACTATCTGGTTGTAGTTCTCGATATGATAGGAACCAATGTTGAGTATTGGTCACAGTGGTGACACATTCACTCATATTTTAAAACTGTTTTTTCACTAACCACTCTGAAATCCTTTCTTCTTTGTAGTTCCCTGACTACTCTGATATCAGTCTTTCTTTCCCGTTGTTCTTGCATGCTACTTTAAAGTATGGCAGCTTTAACCGATACGTCAGGTTCCATGTTGATTTTGTCACTTACCTTCGCCAACCCGATACCAAACAATCCTCGTCATTTGATAACCATCCTGTACACAGTTCGGCCAGTTTTTCTTCAGAATGTCAAGACAAAATTCACAATGACCTAAGCAAAACTTTTGCGCTAACAAATTCACAATAAACTGGCAAATCCAGGACTAGTTAACCGACAGTTGACTTGCTTCAAAGTCTTTGAACGTCAAGAAACATTTCGCCAAATGAACGGATTCCTACCTTTTGTGACCCATACAAATAGGCTGAATTAATATTAACGGCTATCTTGAAATGAAACCCTTCTACATGTACTTTCGGAGTTGAGCGTCCATTTCTGTCCAGTTGGAATTTTATTTCGTTTTTCTACATCGATTTCCTTTTAAACTACTGACATTCTGGTCTATCAGTCTTAGTGACTACTAATACTAAGCTCAGTTGAAATATGTAGCCATAAAAATGGGCCACCGACCTTAATGCGGATACCCCGTGAAGGAAGAGATGCAGTGTCACAAATGTGGCTGCTGGTACCCCATAGCGTACAATGGCCTTACACTGCTGCTGTAAGCCTCCTGCCACGTGGACGTGCAACTCCCACCGCAAAGCAAAGTGTCTTCGCCCAGTAAGCGGCTGAGTCTGGAAACACAGAAGCTCCCACTTAGTAACGTAAACTTATCCGCTGTGACATTTCAGACAATACAATCAATATCACTGAAGTTGTCAGTCAGAAAAAAGACATTGAGCACTGGTATTTGAAAGTTAATTTTGGTAGGTTTGCAGTTATGGATAATGGCCGTAACAGTTGTCATCAGTATCTGACAGATAGGGCACTAATATCAGATGTCCCAAACACTGAAGACTTGATAGGTATCACCAACCACAGCTTGAAAAGGTCTGCACAATGCACCGAAACTACAGCAGAAGGGTCCCATGTATGATGGTCTCTTCGTAGACAATTCAAATACTTAAGCATATTCTGGATAGTGCCCCCAATATTTGTGCGACTCCAAACCAAATCTAAGCCAGTGGCTGATTCATGAAAGATGCATAAGTACTGCAGTGTATCTGAAGACTTAGCACAAAACTGGTAAATAACCTAACATATCCTACATGACATAATCATTTCCCTTTGAGGGCCGAAAATTAGCATTTAGATTCCTGGGCGGTTCTAATTTGTTTCCCAAAGGGTTGATCATCTTCCAGGTCATAGCAAGCGAATTCGGAGATCACGGTCAAACTAACCTAGCGTGAGCTATAAAAAAAAACAAGCTGCCTCGCTATTCTTACTGCTGAACACTGAATCAGTCTCCTTTAAAACCAGTTTGTGATCGCTTATAAGGTATTAGTAAGTAATCTGGTCGAAAATTCAAACATGTATATACGATGTGAACTCCATAGCACTTTGAAAAACAACTCATGTGAATAACGTCAAGTACTGGGACTCAACAGTCGACCACGTGGTTAGATTACATCAGTTTCAAGTTGACTAAAAATGATATAAACCAGCCTGCATTGCAGTGACCATTTTTCAGTCAATGGAATCAAGAACAAAAACCATTTTTTATTGACTTACACTTTTTAAAAGTTCCCTCCATGTCAGATCATCCGGGCCTCTAAAAGTTGACAGCTCGAGGATTGGTTATCAAGTCAACTTACACAACCTTTTTCTTCTGCGTTTCAGTGACTAATCTTGGGATTCGTCGTACGACAATGCTGGAGTACTTTGGAATCAACTCATCGTCTTTTGTATAGGCTAAAAAATGTTTATTAACTTGATGAGATACCTTTCCCAGTGGTGTCTTCTAATATGAGATCGAAGTCTGTAGAATATAGGCAACACTTCGTCTAACGGCACTTTTAAGATCCTTCACAGAAATAGACGAACCGTCAAAGGAAACGGAATCTGTTTTCACGTTTGCCTTAAACTTGAAGTATACAACAGACGACATCTCACCGCTTGTGTGAGATGCGAAACGGAAACTGAAAGCAGGAGATGAGTTAAAACAATCCACTATTTTGATAAACAACCAGTCTGAATTATAACCCAAGGACAAAAATATTATCCATAATTATTCAGTCACCTTCGAGAAATGTTACTGTTCACGATCTGCAAGATGACGAGAGTTTTCTTTAGCCTGTTCCACTGAGTATGAGTGAACTGATCTCCTTTAGAAGGCATCTGAAGAGGCTGTGGCTGCTTTTGATAGGACGTTCTGAAGGTTTTATGACCTAAATGAAAACCAGTTGGGACCAATCGTCCTTAGTGTTCTCAATGCCACACTTCCTTAGGCCGATCTCTATTGTAGGGCTTGTAGCGTCACAGACTTTCCAGAATCAATTGCCTAGGGCACGACGAGATTCAACATTGGTGCTGACCTTCATGGCTTTATCCGACTCGCTGAGCTGAAGGCACACGGCCAAGAATCCACGCCATTTGGTACGCTGTCGTGTCACGTTGCACAGCTCACAATCGACCCTTTAGCCAGTTACTTGTGACGCATCGGTATCATGGCATGACCTTGCAAATATAATATTCCATCCGACTACGCTATTGTGCTTTTTCTTGGTCTCGTATTCGTGGATATGTAACAAGTTCGAATAATTGGTGATTGACCTCTGTGTCTGTCAAGTTCGCACCAAGACAATTCCTAAATTGGTGAGCCGACGTGATAACAGATCTTAAATTGGTGAGCCCGACCAAGAACAAATAGTGAATTGGTGAGACCAATCCAGTTTATACCTCTGTATCTTTTTCACTTTGATAACCTTCATATGTCTATATACGACCCCTTCCTATGTCTGACCATGCTCCGAAGCTTATGCGTATTAAGCCGACGAGCAACATTATCCAGCTCGTGTCATACCGGCCAGATAATGCAGAAACATGGCTTCTGTATGCCGAGGCAGATTTTCGAGAACAGGGTGTCACAGATCCTCATTCTTGCGTTTACTACCTCGGGAATTAAACAAGCAAGTTACAGCGCATATGCTAAGCTGCGGAGTAAGTGACTCCTATGCACTTACCTAAGCTGCACTCCTGAGGAAAAGGGATTTCACAGATCGCCAACGCCTAGATGGATTGCTCCACGATATCCAGCTAGGCAGCAACTCAGCCACTGAAGTCCTTGCACTCATGAGAGAAGTTAGGGGCACACGAACGTTCGATAATGGTCTTGCAGAGAACTGTTTCTCTCGAAACTACCATAACCGGTGAAAACCGTGTTAGTGACACTTCAGTCAGTTCCACTCTATGACCTGACAGCATCAACGGATAAAATACTGGAGATCTCTAGCAGACCCACCTCCAAAGTATATTCCGTATGCGATAAACCGATTCAGCAGTACCAAGCTCTGCTACTCGGTTAAACACCTGCTACGAAATCGAAGCCCTAGGTTACGCTGAGCATCACAGAAACATACCTCAACCCATCGCATGGTTTATCCAGAAACTAAACCTAACACAGCGGAAACCCTAAATGGTGCTGGTTTCACAACACCTACGGGAAGGAGCTAAAAAGTGCCGGAAGCCATGCTGTTTCAACACGGACACAAACTCGGAGAACTGTCGCGCTGGCATGCGTTCACGGCAACCGTAGCTGACGGAAACAGCTGTTTGCTCTATGCCACAGATATAAAAAGGAAAGCTGGCTACCTCGTTGATACCGGGGCGGGAGTTAGCGTCTTTCTCGCACCGACAAAGAAGCGCCACCACGACCCATTGTCCAATCTTCGAGCTGCTAGCCGCACGACGATCGCAACATTTGGGAGACGGCATGCCTAAATCGACCTGTTCACTGGATTTTTCCCCTGGCTGACTTTTCTATGCCCATCATTGTCACAGACTAGCTGAACCATTACGGTCTACGCGTGGATGCTCGTCATCGACGACTGACGCTTAACAACACAAAGTAATCTATTGGCGGCATCATCTATATAAGTCCGAGTTTAGCCACCGCTAAAACTAAACAGTCAGGCGGCGCGACCAATCACGAAGCGTTAGGGAAATATCCAGAGTTACAACAACTGACACCTACTCTTTCGTGCATAAACAGCGATGTAATGCATCACGTGACAACCACAAATCCACCCGTGGCATCCCCTGATAAGCTGAAAACGGCGAAAATTAAATCGGACCACATGCTCGAACCGGGCATAATCAAACCTTCAAGTAGTGCTTTTGGCATCAGCATTGCATATAGTCCCCAAGGAGGACAGCAACGACCAGCGTCCAACTGGTAATTACCGACGGCTCAACGCCAAAGCAACACCGGACTGCTACCCGACACCTCATTTCTACGACTTGACTGCAACGTTATGCAGAATGAACATTTTCTCCGAAATCGATCTGCTCAAAGCTTATGATCAGATACCTATGGCAGCAGAATATATCACGAAAACAACCATTATCGCTGCTTTTTGTTTGTTTGGATTCCTGCGCATGCCATTTGGTCTTCAGAATGCAGCACAAACATTCCAATGCTTTATGCATGACGTCTTTCATGATTTCGATTTTGCCCACGTCTACATCTGTGACTGTCTCATTGCAAGTCAGATAAAGGAACCTCACCTTAAACATTTGGACCTCGTATTCTAAAGACTCAAGAAACATGGCATCACAGTCAACCTGCAGAAGTGCGAGACAGGAGTTTGATCACTCAGCTTCCTTGGGCATACCATTGACAATAAAGGTATACGCGCACTGAGAGATAGTGGTGACTATCATGAAGTAGCCAGAGCCGGCCACTGTGAAGCTGCTCTGCATTTTCACTGGCCTGGTAAGTTATTACCGAAGGTTTATCCCCAACTGTGCCTCTGTCATGAGACCACTAACAGATCTACTTTGAGGGACTACGAAGTGCGTGACTCTAGACAATGTGGCTGCACTTGCTTTCTGAAAAGTCAAGGTAGCCACTTCGAATGCAACCATGCTTATGCATCACGACCCCAACGCCTCTTTGAGTGTTGCTGATGACGCGTTTGATTCAGCAATTGGAGCAGTTTTGCAACAACTGACTGACAACCAATGGCAACCGTTAGCCCTTTTCTCGAGGCGGCTGCAAGACGTGGAAACAAGATACAGCAGATTTGGTAGGGAACTCCTAGCTACGTACTTTTCTGTACACCATTTCCGACATTCATTGGAAGGTTGTGACTTCATTATCTTCTCTGACCACAATGCCTCAACCTTCTCTCTTGGCTCGTCATCAGACAAATACTTCCCTCATGAGTCACGACAACTGGACTACATTTCCCAGTTCACGTCAGATATCCGTCACATGCGGAGCAAAGAGCTCTACAGCCGACGCACTATCTCGGATAGCTTGATAGACCGCATCAAAGGCGTCGACCTCGCTGGGCTAGCTAGGTGTCCACATCTTTCAAGCTACAACTGTTTACAGTAGGATCAGCAAGGATGCAACTTTATATGTTGTCTTTGCTAGTCAACCACGGCCGATAGTTCCGAAGAGATGTCGACACAACGTCTTCAGTACGCTGCACAAACCGTCCCATCCAGGCGTACGAATCACCATCAGGCTTATTGCACAACGTTTCTGCTGAACAAAGACGTTAAGGCGTGGGCTCAGTCATGCTTAGCTTGTCAGAAGTGCAAAGCATGCGACGCACGAAAGGCCCTTTAGGTTTTTTTCTAGCCCCAGACATGCGTTTCGACCACGTGCATATAGATATCGTAGGACCTCTACCAGAATCTAATGGATATGGCTACCTTTTCACCTGTGTGGATCGTCTTACGAAATGGCCAGAGGCGGTACCTATCAAGGATATTACCGCTGAAACTGTCGCTGGCATTTTCGTAGAAAGATGGATCGCAGACTTAGGATGGCCATCTTGCGTAAAGACCGACCGTGGGCTCCAATTCAAGTGTGGATTATATCACGCTCTAACGGCACTTTTTGGGTTGCACTCGGTCACGAAAGACAGCCTACTATCCACAAGCAAATGGCATGGTAGAACGTTTCCATCGACAGCTGAAAGCTTCCCTTTCAGCCGCAAACACCTCAGTGGACCGAGTATCTGACTATGGTCCTTTTGTGTATTTGCGTTGCGTTGGAAGCTGATGCTGGATGCACCTCTGCAGAATTCGTCTATGGGACCACTCCTCGCCTACGAGGTGAGTCTGTTTCCCCTTCAAACATGTTTTCGACAGAACATCTTACGTGACAACGCTAACAAACGCAATGGGTTCGGTTAGACCAACTCGTGTTAGACCTCAAGTAACTGATGTCGTCGTTCACCCCGTTTTACAAAAGACATCACATGTATTCATTCATCACGAAGCCGTTCGTCGACCACTAGATCACCCTATGATGGTCCACTCAAAGTGATCGAACGGAATGGGGAAATCCTATATAATCGAGCGAAACGAACGTGAAGATACCGTTAGTATCAACCATTTGAAACCAGCTATTTCGAAGGCAAAACCATTATAAGTAACGTTTCGGCTCACTATAGCCGATCTGCGGTTAGCCCGGTTATCGAAATTCTCGACGTGTCTGGTAATACGCAGATACAACAACCACCAGTACAACAAAAAACACGATCAGGTCGGATTGTCAGGTTCTCGGATTATCTCAACACATGTTCAAAGAAGTACTGCGACTCGAAATATGCTAACCATTTTTCAAACTCAAATTTTTTCCAGGCACCAAATTTTTCATCTACTAGGAATATGAAACTTCTACCGCATTCTACCGTTTTTGGTGCCAAGTTTCACCGCCACAGGATCATATATTTTCGAAAACAACGAGTGAAAATAAGCATAAATTCCACTTTCGATACATTCATGCACGATATTTACCATTTCTACGAAACTTTTTCGTGGCATTGAAGACTTTTGTTTCTATTCCAGGTGCCACGAGCGCTGAATGGAACGTCAAACAACGCGGGATCGCGGTTGACCTACAATCCGATTTGCTGTATCTTATTTTTCATCGCATGACACCCTGGAATGAGTTCAGACGGCCAAGGGCCACTTCTCGCAGTCAGCCCATAGGGAGAGTTTTACCTCCGGAGAAATTACTGAGTTATTACCTCCGGCTGGTATTGTCATATGGTCCTCACGAATCCGCCAAGGGGGGTGAGCTGTAGCATCACAGACTTTCCAGAATCAATTGCCTAGGGCACGACGAGATTCAACATTGGTGCTGACCTTCATGGCTTTATCCGACTCGCTGAGCTGAAGGCACACGGCCAAGAATCCACGCCATTTGGTACGCTGTCGTGTCACGTTGCACAGCTCACAATCGACCCTTTAGCCAGTTACTTGTGACGCATCGGTATCATGGCATGACCTTGCAAATATAATATTCCATCCGACTACGCTATTGTGCTTTTTCTTGGTCTCGTATTCGTGGATATGTAACAAGTTCGAATAATTGGTGATTGACCTCTGTGTCTGTCAAGTTCGTACAAGATCACTTCCTAAAGATCCGTTAGTTTTCTTCACTTCAAAATGGCAACCTGGGGACCCTATTTATGCGACCATTCACAATCTCAAAGTGATTTCCAGTATTTGAGTAAAAGATATTTACTCTATGCTGGGAGTAGGATATCGTTCAGGTATTCCTATCTGTTGTTGCCGCGTCATAATCATACGAACATACGTGAGTAGTGTACCACTTTGAAGAACATAGTAAGAAAATCCTTCTAGTGTGGCCTTTAGAGTTCTCTTTGTTTTCACTGCTCTATTTCTGCATCCTTACGTGAACATAATCTCACCGCATTTTTTCTTATTTTTGTCATTTCTTAAATCTAAGAGCGCGTGCATCACTTTATCTATTTCAGCAAATTCAATTTCAGTTGGCCCTTTCTAATTTGATTTACCATGATATAGTTTGCAATTGGTTTCCGTTTTTTACCCTCCTTATAGTTTGGTTTTACTGTGCCCATAGAAACCACTATGATAGTTTTAACTAAGACACATGCTCAGGAGGTTCTTACAGTTATCTGGGCCACTGGTTGGCGGTATCCAATTTTCTTGTGAGTATGTAACTTCCGCAATTAACTAACCTCTCTTGGCCACGTAGATTCATACCATTATATTGATTATTGTTACATTATTTGTCCCTTGGGTTCCCAGCGGAACATATGGCTTCAGTAGCATATCTCCATTACACTGTTTACTCTGCAGTCTTTACAACCTGGCCCCACGACTGCCCACAACCTTTCATGGTTTCCTCACACGACCTCCTCCATGTAACTCTCCGACGCTTAACTCGTCGTCTCCCCTTTGAATTCTACTCGAGAGCCTGGTGCGTGATGTCTCCGAATGGTTTTTTCGGTGTACGCCTAATCCGTTCCATCTCCATTTCCTTCTGCATATCTGTTAGGCAATAGGTTCTTGGTTGATTCGTTCCCAGACTTCCTTGTTGCTTATTCCTATTGATCTGGCCATCTGACCTTCAGTAACTAGCGTAGGCAGTTGTGTATGAATGTCTGCAGTTTGTTGGAAATGCTTTTCGTGACTCGTCTACCTGCTTAAGCAGGTAGGTGAAAGAGGCAACTCCCTTTAGATTTATCCCGTTATCGGTGATTGGTGCTTTTTGTTGATGTTGTTGTTTGTTGGATGTCTCCATCACCTCTGTCTTCTCTAGGTTCACCTGAAGTCCCGTTTTCGCTGCCCTGCCTCTTCTGTTAGACCTTCGAGTTTGTGAGACAAGACATTAGACATAAATCATCATTCGTCGGCGAAATCCAAATCTTCTCCTGGTGTCTTTTCATCTGTCCAGCCTGCGTATGCCCCTCTTCTCGCTCCTCACAGCTTGTTGCATAGTCCGGTCTAGTACATGACAATCAGGAAAATCATGGGTGATAGATAGTAGGCGGAGGCCTTGTCTTGCTCCCGTCTTCACTTCAAGGGTGTCACTGAGCTTTCCATTGTGGATTACTTGGCATGTGGTGTTTTCATATAGCTGTTGAATGAGGTTGATAAAGGCTTGTGACACTAAAACCGTAGTGTTGAAACGGCTGCCTGCCACACTACTTGTCGGTCGACGCTGTCGAAGGCCTTTCAAAATCGATGAAGTTGAGGCTGAGTCCAGTTGACTCCCATTCTGTACTCTGTTCTATGTTGATGCGTAGCGTTGCAATTTCATCTGCACATGATTTGTTCTTCCTGAAGCCAGCCAGCCTGTTTTGGCCGTAATTTTGAATCCAGAGCATTGTCTAGTCTCTCCAGGCTAATGCGGCGTAATATTTTGCTTGGTGTGGAAAGCAGCATAATTCTGCATTAGTTCTTGCAAACATTTAGGTCGCTCTTTTTTGGGAGTTTTGCAGGATAGCCCTTCTCCCAATCGACCAGCAGGTACCTTTCCTTCCTTCCAAACCTTCTGCAACAGTGGTGTGAGCATGTTGGCTGTTGTCTTTGAGTCTGTTTTCAGTGGTTCTGGTCGAATTCCACCTAGTCCTCCTGCTTCCCTGGATTTCTGAAGCATTATGGGATTCAGGACTTCAATCTTGTCGGAGGGCTTGTGTTCACTGGTAGTTCCGTGGCTGGGCTGCTGTTGGTATTTCTGGACGGGTTGCAGGTGGTGGTCGATTCAAGAGCTTTTCGGAATGGTCAACCCATTGTCTCCTTTGTTTCTTCTCTTTGGCGGTAACTAGGTTTCCTTCACTATCTCCCATTGGTTTCATCTGATTTGATCTCTCCCCTCCCAGATAGTAACCTGGTTATTTGATGCAATGTTGTCAGGTGTCTCTTACCAGCAGCCTGTTCTACTTCACTTGCCAATACGTCGTAGAAGTGTCTTTTGTCTTTCCGTGCACTCTTCTTTACTTCCTTGTCTAGTGTAGTGTTGTATAGGTTGTGTTCAGTTCCTCTTCTTGTTGTTCATCCCGGCGCTGCACAGGTTCATCTTCTGATTCACCATCACCATCTTCCTCTACCTCCTCTATCAGCTTCATGTATCCGTCGGGATCAATTCTTTGTCTTCCATCTTCTTCCTTCCTAACAGGCTTATGCAGGTTTCTTTCCACATCTCTTTCACAGAGTTTCAGTGTTCTTCCAAGCAGACTTCCTCAGGGATGTTGATCAGTGTCCCTCGTTTCTTCCTCATAGCTAACGCGAAGATATCTTTTGTAGTTTCATCATTCAGTTCACTTTCTGTTTCGCTTGTTGAACTTGAACTGTGGTCTATCACCAGCTTCTTGAAAGGCTTTCAACTTGACTTTGAAGGCAGGTTCCTTGCACTAGACAGTGAGTGGTCTGAACCTATATCTGCTCCTCTTCTTGACCTTGTATCCAGTAGGCTGGATCCCCACTCTCTTCACATTGAGATGAATTCGATCTGATTTTTAGTGTGTCTGGTGAGATCTGTATTCCTTTGTGAATATCTTTGTGCTTGTAAACACTGCCTCCAGTCACCAAATCACTGGATGCACAGAAATCTGCGAACAGTTCTCCATTCTCATTCATCACTTCACCGAGTGCTTCTCGATCCATGATGAGCTCTCTTCCTGTGTTGTCCGCTCCCAGTTTGGCTGGCATTCGTGTCACCCGACCCATTAGGCTTTTGATATCGCCATCTGGGTTAGGGTCTCGTCTATTAGTGATTACGGTTGCCTGTAGAACTCCTCCTTCTCTTGATCTGCATTATTCCTAGGTGCATGGTGTGGCATTGTATGATTGTGCCTTTGCTTCCTTTTGATTTGAGTCTTGCTACCATGATTCTGATCGTGGAGGAGATTGGTTCCCACTACATGAGAGCCTTCGATGCTGTTGGGGACATCATGATAGCCACTCCAAAACCCAGTGTACTGTGCTCGTGGCGACAATATTGGAGTGGATTATTGACTCTACAGTTGAAAGGTTGGAGGGTCAACTTCCATTCCACCTGCTCTCGCAGATTCCAAGCACTTCCATGCCATACCGTCTCATCTCTGGGAATCTGGGGAGCCTTGCTAGGTTCAAACGTTGTTCGGACATTCCATGTCCGTATGTGTACTTTTGCTTTCATCGGGGGAAGAGAAGAAGGATCGGCCAACTGACTTACGAAGGCTTTCACCGACCGGTGTCATTTCGTCTCTCCGATTCCAGCGGGGAATAAGTTTGCTTTTATGTTTTATATTTTCCCTGTGCCTTGAAGTTCGTTTAGCGATTAGATTGCCTTTATGGGGTAGGGTCGGTAGCCTTATGCCCAACCTTTCCTCTTTATCCAAGCTTAGGACCGGCTAGTGACTAGTGAAGCAGTTAACCAGCTTTGGATCAAAGCTGCTAACCTTTTTGGAAGAGTCCTTTGTTAGGTGTTGTATCATGGTTATGCAATACCGAAGGTATAGCCGTATACATCATCCTTTGATTTCCCTGGGAAATATTTGGACTACGCAGAAATCCAGGAAGTATAGCGTACCATGCAGAAGAAATGCGGCTGTCAGATTGGGTAGGGTAGAAACCTGCTCCGTCTTGTAATCAGTATCCTGACCACCAAGCTCTGGGGACCAGTTAGGCAGTGGAAAAATGACTCATTGGCTGCTGCTGACTTTTTTGGTAATCCTTGGACCCAATCAGTAACATCTCAAGTATGCCCATAAGTTAAAGTTTCCAGAGGCTTACCATAACCAACCCTACCGAATGCCATATTTAACTACAAAGGCCGATTATCAGCAGGCTACTTCCGTTCGGCAGAGAAAGACCATATGTATTAGACTGTTTATTATTCAGTATGTCACAATCTCCATTGTAAAAACCAGTCTCGAGAATGGGTTCGTATAAGGTTCCTGAGCAAGTACCTACGAAGTCAGCCCATCACGGATCTCCTCATAAATTCGCAACCAGTGAGACTAGGGACATTGGTTTAAATTTATAAGCACTAAGTTTATGCCGGAAATTACATAATTTGACAGCAATAAAAAATTTCTAAAAGAAGGGTGCACACACTTCTACGCTCGAGAGACCAGCTCTTCACTACAGAAAGACGAACAGATTAAAAACAAATCCAGCGATCGATCCAATCGGCATAAGCCACATTCGAGGGACATTTTTAAGAAACTAGCTACCAGCCCGTAAACCACTTCTTAGACCCAGTCTATCATCGTTGCGTCCTCTTCAAGGTGTGCAGTGCCTTCTAGGGAGACCGCTATATATGAGACGGATGAAATCCAAAAGCCATGCGATTCCGGTATGTGGCGCCCATCAACTTTCGTCTTCAATCTTTCCTGGCTTAATATAACGAATTACATCCGTAGCATGGAATTTTGGTCCTCAACTCAACTGTTTATGCGTCTTGTAAGTCTAACGTGTTCGATTGTAGAACTGAAGGCCATAACCCAATATTCAATATCCAGTATATTTTTAACGGGCTAGTGCAGACCAACTGCTTTCTTCACACTCGCTTCTAGGTCTTGCGGAACCGTTGAAGATATTTTTATCACTTTTTTGTTTCCGATGTTAGGGATCCCACGGTAAAAGAAAACACTTTTGAAGCGATCTCGCTTCCGAAAAAATCAGTTTCAACAAGTTGTTCTGTAGACGTCATAACTCAGGGACAGAAACCTTCAAATGATAAGGCAGATGCCACTTTTCCGAGGCGACAAAAGAGAGCTAAGGGCATTCGCGGTAAACAGATGGCAGGGGTCAACTTTATCGCTCCGGTAAACAGATGTAGAACCAGTGTAACGACACAAACATTTCACATCTTGAGTAAGGTCAACCCCCTGAATATCCCACGCGTTTATTGTTCAGCAAGGAAGTGAGGTGAGAATCAAGCGTCTTATCCATACAATCTTAGAGACCAGGTGAAAATCCTCACCTAAAGAATGCAACCGAATTGTCAGCCACATGGGATATTCAGCGAGAGCGTGGAGCTGCATTCACAAGGAAGATGACAACTAAAACAATTGATGAAAATATTAAACATAGATCCCACAGGCTTTCCGACGCTGCGGGAAGTATT